CAAACAGTGAGAGTTGAGGTTGCCTGTGTACGCCATGCAGAGCAGCATTGCTGTTACTGGTCGGCTATACATCTTCCCAGTCTGCGGTCCAGTAGTTTGATGGTGTTTTGCAGCAAGCTGATTTTAATAACCATTCCTTTTGGAGGTAAAGCAGCACTTGGCAGCTAGGAAAAGATGCTCCTTCGGAAAAGTCATGCCCCTTCAAATGAGTCTATTAAGCTTGGTTGCATTATTGATTTCTGTCATAAACCTGGTATTTGTTTACATTAAATGACTCAACTGCTAAATGGTCACAACTGTATTTTTTCTGAAATTAAGATGCAACCATGCTGAACATCCTGTATGTAGGTTTTTAGTGATATGTGTTTCAGGAACCTGCAACTGCTATTTTGCCAGGAGTGGTGAGCTTGTGCCAGTGAGCAGTATTATCTCTGTAGTTGGTAGCTTGTCAGTGTCTTACATTAACACAGCACTGTCGTGTCTGCCCTTCTAGGAGGAGCCTATACTATAAAATTGCTTAATGCTTTCTATTAAAAGACGCTGTTTTCAGATTTTGATCGTTGTTTGATCATGCCAAACTTCAGTTGTTCAATCTGAAGTCTTTCTTGCCTGCCTTTTTTTTTTTTTTTTTTTTTCCTCCAGGTAGAAATGTCTTGGAGAGATTCAGCAGCACTAAGTCAGTCTTTGTTCATTTTTCTTTTGGACAGACTTAGGCATTTTTTCCCTATACAAAAGGAAATTACTAAAAATCTGCTAAGCTAGGGGATTCAGGTTTGAGGAGGGGGTACATAATTTGGATTGGGGGCAAAAGCTCCTATATAGAGGCTGTTCTTGTAAGGAGGAGTTCCAAAATCTTCCCAAACCCTGAATCAGGGGTTGATACTGCTAAGAGTTAAATTATTTGAAAAACTGGCTTCTGTTGAATGTGTCAGGTTTAAAACCACGTGAGCTCTCTGCAGTTGCACCCATTGTGAGGAGTGAGGGCACCAAGAATGGACAAACCCACTCCGGTGTTATCAGTGATTACCTGCTGGGAACGTACCTTGCTTGAAGTTTTATAGGAGGCAAAAGCTTGGACTGGTAGAAGAAGATCTTACAGGAACGAGACTACCATGGAAGAAAGAGTAAGAAAAGGAAGGAGAGAGAAATTAAAGTTGAAGAGCCAGGAAGTGGGCCTGATCTTGCTTCTAAGTGTCCTTGCTTTGGTATATGTTTGTGAAACAAGCAAGGAAAGTAGTTGTTCAAAATCTGAAGCTGATCTGTATAGGTACTGACAAACTAATGTCAAAAATTCTTACCTTGCTGCTGGCCTGCGGTGTTAACAATATCATTTCCACATGGATGGAATGAAAGTTTTATTTCTATGCATGTAGGACATAATACACAAAGTTGTATTAAATAATAAAGTTCTGAGGTTAAGATGATGAAATTGGGAATTGCCAAAAATCACTTCCCTGTATAGTCTCACCGACTGTCTTCCCTAGTTCAAAAGTATTTGGTACTCTTTAGTTACGTGGCTGTGGATGCCACCGCCTCTTTCTCCTTCCTCACTGGACCCCAGCCTCATTCAGAGCACAAAGCAGATAATGCTCATTGACTAATTAACTGTGTAGTCCTATTTATTGTTAAAAGTGGGTCAGTGCCTCATTCTAACATGCGTGTTACTCTAATCCTGCTTTGAGTACGGGATTATTAATTTACTTATAGGTTTTTCTGTGGTAATCACAAAGGCTCCGCCAATACTGACTTATTTTCACAATATAGGTGATAGGAAAGTTGAGTGATAAGGAGAAGATGAACAGTGAAAATACAAGAAATACTCCAGTGCAGAAGTATTTCCATATGAGGGCATGAATTGGACTGAACAAGTGACTTCCTCAGAGCCAATGAGGAGAAGTTTCTTGCACGACATGTGGTTAAGCTATTCTATGCCATAGATGTTTTGAATACTAACATCTGACAGGGATTCCAAAAGTGATCAAAATATTCTTGGAAGAAAGCTCTGCTCAAGATTATTAAATGTGAAAAAATCATCTCTGAATCAGACTCATCTTCCCCTACATATGGCTGAGAGCCTACTGGGAAATCCTGCTTTATCCTTGCCTCATGCTTATGCTTTTGTCCATATATCCGCTGCTGTCTGGTGTCAGGGATGAGGTAGCGGGCTAAATGTGGCTTTGGCCTGGCTGTGTGGCTTTTTATGTTCTTGAGGGACGAGACTGACCATGCTCTGCCCGCTCTCAGAAGCTACCCCTGCTGCCCATCGCCCCCCGACTACTTGACATTTGGAGCATACGTGTTCAAAGCACGGTTCCTACTTCTTCCCTCGGAGCTGTGAGTGCTCAACCTTCTGCCTGGTTTCACCTGTGTGGCCTAAGATGGCCAGCTGACTGCCTCCAAAATAGGAAATGTACTTGGTATTACCTGTCTAAAGTTTAATAAAGAAATAAAATAATCCTTTTCACTTAGGACCTCTGTGACAAAAAAAAAAAAAAAGGAAGAAGAAAAATGGAACAAAGTTTCTCCCAGATTTGTTAGCTGCCAAAACCTGTACGTGGTGCTTTTCTAATATATGTGTGTCCCCCGTGTCAGCCCAGGCAGCAGCAGTACCTCATCGGAGAAGGTTGTAGAAGGAGCAGTGGTGGGGAAATCACTGTTGCTTGGCATTTAGGGGGGAAGATACGATTGATTAATGAGATTTTAAGGAATAGTCTAGGAAAGGATGGGTAGGGGGCATGATAGCATGAAAAATCTCTCCTCTTGTGTCTACTTTCTGTTCTCTGACACTTTCCAGCTTCTGTAAGAAGCAGAGGGGCTGTGCTGCACGCTTCGGGCTCCTTCCCGGGGCACTGTCCCTTCTTGACGCTGCCTGAGGGAGGGTCTCGACAGAAATGTCATTTGGTGTTAAAATGTATCGTGTCTATATGTAAGTTAGACAAGTTAAAGTTGCATGGGCAACTGCAATTGTATTAGCTTTTGAGTAGTTTAGCAAATGCAATACTCTCTTTGCATGTCGACATCGTATTCTATATGGATAGGGACTGGCTGAGGTACAGCTCTAAGCATTTGCTGACTTCCACTCTGCTTTTTTTCCATAAAGTACGTGGTACATCGCGCTCGTGATTTCATCTCCTCCTGGATTCCTATAAACCCGGCCATACCGGCGGCGCAGAGCAGGGAGCTCCCGGTGCCCCGGGGGCCCGGCGGCGGCAGGGGGTGGGCGCTGCTGCCCCGGGAGCCGCCGGCCGAGGAGCTGGCCACGGCAGCGGTGCTGCTGCTGGCCCAGGTCCCCTGGCCAGAGGTTGTGCTCACCCTCTACCTCCTGAGACCCTTTCGTCTGGTTCTCTACCAGAAAGCCTTTCTCCTAGTCCTCCTAGGAAACCTGACATGCAGCCTGCGTTTCCCTGAAGTGCCCACGACGCTTCCCCGAGCGGCCTCGCTCTGTGTTTCTCCACGGCTGCTGAGAAAGCCAGTCTGTGAATAGACTTGGTTGCCAGTCCATCAGGAGGTAGAAAGAAGCATCAAGGCTTGGGATTGCGTTGGGTTGGGCAAATAAAAGCATTATGGCTGTTTTCACAGCGTGCCACCCACGTGTCACGTAGTGGATAGTGGCCACTGCTGCAGCAACTCTGTGTGCAATGGCTTGGTGGTTAGCTTTGTGAGCATTAGGGTTTGTGAAATCCATAAATACTCTAGGCTTGGAAAAACCTATACATGTGTATATTTTATGCTTTTTAAAACGTGTTTAATTCTTTACCAGCCCATTCCTTTTTAAAGAAAATGAAACAGTGGGTATAGAAAAAATGGAAAGATAAGCTATTCAGCAAAACAGATACTGAAGGTAATCTGTTGGATTACAGTTCTTAATGCAATGAAACAATGGTCAGGATTATTCTAAATATGGATTTTTCTTATCTTTAGTAGCATTTCAGTATTTACAGCTCAAAGTATTTAGAAACAGACAGTTATCTCAAACTTTTAAATATAAATGTAGTTGCGGTATGTCAAAAGCTGGTCACTTTTCCCTGGATTTGTTTCTTCTTTGCTTGTATACAGAAAAATAGGTATTATAGTAAAGATGTATGGCTGGGAATTCCTTTTCTAAACCTATTTGTACTTTTTGCAAGTGATACTGTATTAGTTGTTGAATACCTCGGTATTCTTTTTAGAGACATGTTTTCCCTTTTAGTTGTCCTGATGCCTTTTCCAGGAGTTGATAGATGATACAATTTTAATCTTTTTTTGCTCTGAATATTTTTAAGAAACGGGGAGACAATTCTGAGAATTGAAGAGACATTTGGGACATTTGGAGATGGTTAGAGACAATTGAGAATTGATGACTAAAAACAATAACCAGTTAGAGATGCATGGCAGAAAATGAAAATTACTGATTTCACTTAATCACTTTTTGTCTCATGTGTCAACTCCAGAAATCAGGAAATTATAGACATGGATTTTCTTCCTGCCTTTATGTGTTCCATGAGGAAATGAAATGGGGAGAAAAATTATTGGGGGGAGCTAATGAAAAAAAAGGAGGGAAGGAAAAATTTGTCAATCTGCAAAGTTACATGGGACTTTGAAGGGGCAGTTTTAGCTTATGAAACTTTTTAAAGCCCCCATGCTATTAATTGGCTTTGAAACTTATTGTATCTGTTTATACACTTTGTGGGTTTTCCTTATTATATGGGAAATCATTCAAAGTCCAGATATTCCACAGGAATTGCAGATACCTGAGGAGTACTGGTAATTATTTGTTTCTGGTAGGGTACCACACTGTGTTGGTTATTGAAAAATGTAAAGAAAGCGCTATTACTGTTGTAATTGTTTTTCTGCTTCAAAGGCAAAGATGAAAAGGAGTGTGTGTAGGGGATAGTTACATTATATGAGCAAACTCTCTATGTTTTATCTTAATAATTTGAAGTTTTGATAATGTTTTTTAAGATACAGAGCATCCCCATTTAGTTTTTATCTAGCAGGTATTAGATAACTGTTTTTTGTAGGTATCACTGTAGGAGTGGGCCTTCAGGAAGGATTTGAATGCCCAGAGAATAGTGACCTTGGGGACCAGCTCAGAAAGAGTTCCATGTGTAAGGAACCACCTAGAAGCAAATTTAGACTGCTGCGGGAAAAGTGGACAAATGGTAAGTGAGGATGGGGTGATAAACACAGGCAGAAGCACTTCTGTAGAACCTCAAAAGCAGAAAAAATAATCTTGGTCATGAGGCAGCTGAGGGAAAAGGGGTCAGTGGAGGGATTTAGATATTAAGCTGATGTTTTCCTGATTTGTTGCTTTCTAGTAAAGATGTAATGCATTACACTGCCAAAAAAAATGGTGCAGTGAATTACTGTGTATTGGAGATGAGTTGGAATAGATCATTCTGTGTGTGTGTGTTGTGTGTGTGTGTTCATTCCATGAGTCTTTCAGGAGTTAAAAAAGTTCTGATTATGTGATTGTTTTATTTGATATTCAAAGATACTTTGCACTTAGAACATATTTGTATTTTTAAATTTGCTTCCTAACAACCTTTTACTCCTGACTTTTTTTTTTTTTTACTTTAATTTGAGACCAGAGATTTAGAAACAACATACAGATATACAAAAGTGAGAGTAGAGCCATGTATTGTACAAGTAGTTGTCTGGTTGGTTATGCGATATGCAATTCCTGTAGTCTGTGGGTAGGCTCCCTCAACTTCAGTTGATCTAATGCTGATGCAACTGGCAGGAAGACCTTTCCTTTCTTTTATGCGTTTTCCCCTGCTGCTGTGAAAAATGTCCTAATGTTTTGTTTAGGTTATCTGCACACATTCTGTACAGCTATTTATATGTTAAAAAGTTGAGTTGTAGGTACAGAGAGACTATTAAAAACAAGCTTAAACATGTGCTTTGAAAAATTTAATGCGGTTTATTGAATAATTTGATGCAATATATGAGGAATTGTGAAAGCTTTTGAAGAGGGTTAACTCTGGAAGCTATGATATTAAGTAATTGCATTACTTTGAATTGCTGTTTCTGATAACAGAGTAGTTCTGATGACTCTTTTGGAAAAAGTATCAATTTTAATTTGTGCTATCACTGTGCTTTTGGACTTGGTCCATAACGAGGAGTCCTGCTGCTCTAGACTCTGTACCAGGATTTTTACAGAGCAAAAGGATGGCAACTATCCCTTTTTTCAGTCTTTATCAGATGCTTGCATGATATGCGAGATAAATTTAAAAAAAAAAAAAGCAGCCCAGTCATTTAATATCATGGTAAAGATTGCTGTTTCCCTTTGCTTGCCCATGAATATCTCATCGCCTAGTGGGAGTGTTTGTAAATAAGGCAGCATTTCCCAAACTGTTTTGCTTCCTGTCTGCTTTTCAGCCAACTTGGTTCATTTGTGCTGTCTGCCCTCCAACTGCACTCTCCGTCACGGCATCCCAACCCGGGCGTGCGCTTTTACTTTTGCCTCTCGTGCCCGGGGGTGTATTTGTATTTCTCCTCCTTTGTCTGTTGTCTCTAGTTCAGTGATTCCTAGTCCGCCTTTCAAAAACATTGCATTAAATGAGAGAGGCATAAAAACACCAGAGAATCCACTTTCCCTAGCAAGTTGCGACAGTAGTGAGAGTGAAGAGAAAAAAGTTACAGTGAGGTGCACATTGTAGTATGTATGGTGCCTGTGAGCTGTCAGAGAGGTGTACAGGTGAGGCTAGCACTTCCAGCACGTGGTCATTTCCTGATACAAACACGTCAGTATAAAACAAAGTAGGACAAGCATAAGCTCCTCTGACACCTCGGTGCTTCTGGGAGACTAAAAGGACACAAGTCTTAAACGACTTGCCATAGATAGGCTTTGTATAAAAGTTTTATTGTTCCTGTCTCAATATTAGGCTAGCTATCTCTGTGTAAAATTCCACTGGAGATATGGCACTGTAGTTTTTACTGCTTTGTATGTAGCTGAGATAACACCTTGTCCTTTGTATGCACATGTATGCAGTGAGCCTGTGATTCGGTTTACCAAGCTGTGTTGAGGTGAAAAGTGCCTGCGCTGTTGCTGTGCTGGAAGTTTATATTTAGATTACCCCTCTCTCTCTCTCTCTCTCTCTCTATATATATATATATTTTCTTTTTTTCCCAGCATAAAAATAGTACAGTTTTTTAAGCAGTGCTGATAGCAAAATTATTTCAATCTGTGTTTTATTTCCTCACTAGAAATGCTTAAATTGTTTTGAAAAATACGTCAACAAAAACCTGTTGTGATCTTACCTTAGCCCACTCATTTGGGGGGCAATATATCACATGATGGTAAAGTATCCTTTTTTATATTAAGAGCAGTTTCTGAGATGATCAGTGCTGATACTAAGTTCATGAAAGAAGCAGTATAGGATATTACAGTATTTTTTTTTTTACTGGTTAGTAAAATGTTAGAATGAAAATATGAGAAATGCTGTGTTTCAGGTGTTGTTAGTGTTAGTATTCAGATAATGGTAGTATTAGAAAAGACATTAAACTAAAACAAGCTGAAACCCACCGATTCTATTGGAGCCTGTGTGTTGAGTTCATCACAGCAGTATTCAAACACTTAAGCTTTTGTGATGAGATCCTTTGTTCCTAAAAAATGTATTTGTAATATGTAAGGCAAAAATAACTTACATGCTTTTGGGCTTGTGTTTCTTTTTTTTTCCCTCTCTGCTGCCTGCATCTAATGGGAAGTCTACTTGCCTCTAAAATTCTGTGGGAGAAGAATTATATAAGAAGATATTTATTTTTAATTGCAGTTGTCACATTAAACTGCAGTGTTACTCACCAAGCAGAAAATTATTAGATAATGTGTGTATAAAAAGTAGAAAACATCTTCTGAATTTCTCAAGATGTTTTATTTAATTTCTTTCCAGAATTGTAACTTCTGGCTTTAATATTGATGGAATATAGAAATTTCTTTTTGTTTTCACATATGTACTTACGTAACGTGTTAGCGTTTCCCCCCCCCCCCAGATTCTTAGCTGTTCCCTTGTGTATCCTTCGTTTCTTCTCAGACCTGCCTAGTCAACCTTTCTACTTTTATAAGGAAGTTGTTACTTCTCTCCAAGAAAGAGCCTGTTGAAAAATGTATACAACTTCAATGCATGGATAATACTGTTGTCCTTTGACAAAAATAGCTGATTCAAGACTTTCCTAAAATTGTATAAACTTGCTTTTGTATAGTTACAATCAATGCTTTAAAAGAGAGGAGGCATAAGCCTCAGGAAGTTTTCTATTTGTCATTCTAATAGTACTGTGTGCAGAGTGTTTGAAAGTGTACGCTTGCAATTGCTATAAAGGAAAGATTTGGATGGCCAAATTGAATGCAGGGTCTGATATAAATTAGTATACACATGAGAATAAAAACTATGTAAGGACTAAGATCTCCTTTTTCCAGTTTAAACTTTGTTTTGTTTTTAATACCACACTGCTCATCTGTGAAGTGTGCCCGCTTCTGAAGACCTTTTCCTGTGGATTGTGTATGATAAATCACTTTTTTTCATGCTCTGAACTACTGTGGTCTTCCAGAAGCAAGTGAGAATTTATGATTTGCCAAGTGTTTGGCAGAAGGAGGATAAAAGCCTTCTACTTCTCATGGAGAGGGCCAGGTGCCAAATAGAGTAAAACTGCCTTGCTATTTAGGTATTTGCTGAGCTTTCATCACTGTAATAGCTGAATGTCCCTTCTTTGAACACGAATGGTGTGTAGAGTGAACACTTTTGTTTCATTCTATAGGAAATGCAGGAATTACTTTTTTCCTTCTACCTGTGTAAGGCTGTGTCTTTTTGGTTAGTCTTAATTTTCTTGTTTGTTACTATAGGAAAGTTAGTTTAAGGAACCTGGTGTTGAGTTTTCTCTTAAAAGCAATAGTTGTACTTAGCACTTCTAGAGCATTCTGTTCTAAATACCAGCTACTGCCAAGAAAACTGCCCTCTGCTCCAGGGAGCTTACTTCTGGTGGTTTGCTTTTGATTGTTCCTGCAGAGTATGTTTTCTTGCGGTCTTGATCCCTTAGGTAGAGGTGTGTTTATAGACCATTTAGAAGAGGACAGTAGAAGCCTCATAGTTGAAAGTCACCCTGAAATATTAGTGCAGCAGGTGGAACACCAGTCGAATTCAGTGGTACGGTGGTGGATGAGCACTGGAGTACAGCAATTTGTGGTAAAACCACAAGGAGCCTGATTGGCATGGCCAAACCATTGCACTTCAGTAGAGAGATTGTCTTCATACAGATAGATAAAATGTTCTGGCCTACCTTTTGCTATCTGGAGCGCCCAGTTAGATATCAGTGTGCCAATAGAAAGCCTAAGTTGTAGCTTTGAGCACCTTTAATTGGTTTGGATTGGCTAACCTAGCAAATACTAGCAGTGAAGAGGCAGCAGCATTGGAGCAGTGTCAAAGATCAGCTTTGTGGTTTCCGGCAGCGTCTTCAGCCTTGCTCAGCTCTGGGGTTGCTACCCAAAGCCTGTTCCTGCTTTCAGCTCGAGGCGCCTGACGCTGGGGGTGCTTCAGCCAGAGCAGGAGCAGAGGACCTTGTGCTGGTTTGTGCCCTGACAAGGCTACCTGCAGTGCTTTGGGTAACTGCAGCTGTACCAGCTGTCTTGAGTTACTGGTGGTCACTTCTGGGTTTCTTCAGGCAGAGGGCTCTTTTTGCATGCCTTGCTGCTGAGCGTGGTGCAGCTTGAAAGCCTTCACTTGCCTCTTTCCAGTTTTAAGAATTTTGTGCATTAACTGTGTCTGTCCAACAGAGAAATGAAGGTATGTGGATCCTTATGGCAACTCTAGAGTAGTGAGGAGCAGTGGGAGAAGTGGAAAGAATTCGTTATTTGTTAATTCTTTAATGGAGGCTGAAGAATTTGAAAGCTGATGACGTTGCTTGCTAGTTTGTTAAAAATTGAGTAGAATCTGGAGTTTCTGACAGAGGTATAAGATGAAATTGTAGATATACTACTGAAATTATATAGCGTACCTTGAAATGGCAGTAGTTCCCGGAAATTAAACAGTTTTCCTTGGTCTTTCACAGTCAGGACAGAGCATAAAACGGCAGCAGTTTTTTATAATGGCTGAAATGCAGGCAGAGAAAGCTATATTGGAAATGCATTTTTAAAATAAATAAAAAACACAGTGTAAACCTTGAATAATTTATGGACAAACTAGAGTGAAACTAGTATTTATAATTAAACATGGGTTTGCTATCGTTTGGTTTTCTTGTATGAACAAGTGCTAGTATTTTTCATGGTGCCAGAAAATGGTTGTGTTAAAATACTAACCTTCACAGTGTGAGTTGGGGACTGACTGTAGGAGATAGGATGAGGCAGTAATTGGCATTACTGCAGACAGTAATATTTTCTCTGATACAAAAATTCAACCATAAAATAATTTTCTTAGGCTTTTGAATGTAGATTTCCCAAATGAAGGCAAAAGAAGGACAGATGTTTAAAAGGCAAAGCAAAAAAGCTTTGTCTTTTTCAGGAATGTAGCAAGATGACTTCTGAGGTTTCCATGTGGCTACTCCTTTGAAATGATGAAGGAGGATCTAGGGCATGGATAGTGGGGGGAAGTTTTATTTTCCTATTCTCTTAGCTAACTTTTAAAACTTAACCCCAATAATCGTGTTGCAATTCATTAGTAATTAGCATCTTTATGGTTTCTTAGGTGTCTACCTCAAACCTGCAAAGCGTACAAATGATGTTCTAGATTTGGCAGCATTACTTTAAGAATCTTTTTCTCTTGCAAAGCTGGTCTTTATTGCAACTGGAGTATTTGGTTTGTTTGTGGTGTTGGTGTTACCCTGGTTGGCCAGTTCATGCAGCCCCAGTCTCGGGGAGCTGGGCACTGTTTCCATTTGTCTGTAGTACGGGTGGTGCTAGTCATTCTCCTCTTCCAGCCCTTCCCATGATTTCATTTGGCTGTACTTTTTGGCTGTTTCCTGTGTCTACAGCATGGAAACAGCTCACCAGGTTATGCAGTCTCTTTTGGAGGGAAAATTCCCATTCTGGTGAAATTTGAGGGGTTATAATCTGCATTCCTTCAGCTCTGTCACGGAGTTGGATTTTATTTCCTTTGAGGATTAGGATCAGGAAGTTGTTTCCCGGTGTCACTCGCTGGCTGCGAGTCCTCTCAGGAGGTCAAGTCGGATAGTTTGGTACAGGATGTTCTTCTGAGTTGGATGTGTGCCTTCCTACCTTGGAGCTACCAATTACTCATGCCTGTTGGCTTGCAGTGGCCTGGCCATACTGATTAGTGTCTTTATAATTTGCTGTGGGTGTTTTTGTGGAAGCTTAATTTGAACTGCAGCTTGTATACCATTGTAAACTCTTTTTTTTTTTTTTTATTGTTTTGTTATCAAAGTAGTACCTGTTTGAGTGGTTTGTGCTAATTATGACTGCTTCTTGTTGTTCTCTGTAGTCTTGTAGTATTGAATTAATTTATTTGTGGTTGAAGTACTGTGCTTGTACGTCAGAACGCTTTTTTCTAGACAAGGGATTAATTTCTTCTTACAGCACTCACTTTGCTTTCAGTCCAAAAGAGTTTTTTGGCCACATTTCATAAAATTGTTGCCACTTTATGAAGTATGAGATAATAAAAATAGTCTTATGCTCTTAAGGAAACTTCTAAAATTTTTTTGCTTTATGCAGAAGGACTTGAGATAGTTTTAAATGTATGTTTTCTGTCTGTTACCCTTTAAGAGAACCAGTACATCCAGTTAAAAACTCTACTTGGCAGATATATTTCCAAGATGAGTATGCAAGAATATAGGTTTTCTTAAAATAAGCTTACCTTCTAGGTTTTTTGAGTTGATTTATTTTCTTTCTAATATCATTGCTTGCCTTGTTATTCTTGTTTCCAAAGTGCAAACTCCTCATTGTTTCTGTCAACGCTTTTCACTTTTCAGCCTCTTTCTGCATTTGTGCTGTAACTTCATGCTGCATATGCTGTCAGTTAGCAACCTCTTTCGTAAAGTTCTATTTTCCTTCTGTGCACTAATGCTTTTAGTTGTTTTGCTGAGAAAATGGGTTTGAAACAGTGTTACTAACCTTTTCCTATTGTACCCCCTTGCAAAAAAAAAAGTAATTAAGAGATGTACTAGCAAATAAACGCATGGAGAACTAAATTATTTATGAAACGTTTTTCTTTTTTTCTCATAGTTCCTGGAATAGATGGCGGTGGGTTAGCTGATGCTAGCCTCACAGATTCCTACTTTAGCACCAGCTTCATTGGCGTTAATGGATTTGGAAATCCCGCTGAAACAAAGTATCCCATGATGCAGGTAATAACAATGAATTGTATAATGTTTCATTAGTTTTGACTGGCCTTCCACCACGAAGGGTGAACTGCTCCACAGGCAGGAAAAAGGGAGCTTTCTGACATGTGTTGTCTTCTAGGATATACATAGTATATACTCAATTCTTGCAAATAGAAATGAAACAATATCATTGCTTTAGAATTAGTCTATTTTTGTTGTTACTTATCTGAGCTGTTGTATTGGGCTTTGTCAAATATATTATCTGTGCTCCTATATTTCTTTTTAGGTTTACAGCTAATTTTGATAGCTTTTTACTAAATATATAAAAATTAGATTTTGAAACATTTCAAAGATCAAAAGTCACTGAAGCAAAATGTGAGCTGTCAAACCTGTGAATTACAAAGCCAAAAATTCAGAATTTGTAAACCCAGTCTCTGTTGGCATTCGGTGATGTTCAATTCACATTTAAATCTTCTGAAATGTTTTCTTGTATTTATAGTGTACTGTAGATGTTGGCATAGGAACTTCTGTGAAGTGAAATTTATTGTGTAGGTAGTAGTATGCAAAATTTACAGTAAAAGGCTGTCATATTTTAAACCTAAATGAGTATCTTTTTAATTAACACATGAAGTACTATAATAACTCCCTCAAACTGTTATGCTTTTTAAAAGCTGAAAAGAAGGTGGTCTCTCCCTGTAGTCAGAGGTTTAACAAACCAGTTTCTGGTAAATGAAAGAGAGCACAAGTCCAACAGTTCGCACTGAGTCCTGACAACAACTCTCTTCTTTTATATCAAGGAAACTCTCCTTGTGAGCTTACTTTGATCTCAATTGTGGCTGTATTATGGATTGAAAAATAACTCAGCAAAAGGTGGGAATTAATTAGGTGTGTTCCCTTTTTATTTATTTATTTTTTTTACTGCATGTTTTCAAGAAGGCTGGATTTTTTCATTCAACAGAATTGCAAAACTATGGAAATGTTTACTCAGTGATGCATGGTTTAAAAAGAGAAATTTTAACCTCTGATCCTAAAGTGTACTATTGAAGCTGGAATAGTACTTGGAAGATTATTGCTTTATAGTATGTACAGTTACAAGTTTTGGTATCACTGAGATCACATTTTATCCTCTTAGTGCAAAGTCATTATGTTTAGTATCCTTGAACTATGTTCTACAGCAGCACTGGTGTCTTTCTAAACACAAATTTTTAATTAGAACTGTTTCTTCTAGAGAGGCATGCACCTAACAGGAATACTCATAGGATTTTTAAATACTTTACTAATGCCTGTGAGATTATGGTCAAGGCATTGTGCTTCTCTTTGGCAAAAGATGTGCCTCTTACCTATTGGAGGCTAAGGAAAATTACTTCTGAAGAAGGATTTCATTACTGTTGAGAAAGTGCTTACAGGCATTAAGCTACAGTTTAAAAAGCATTCTTATATTGATTTTTTTTTTCCTTTGAATCATGTAGTTTAAGGTTTTTTTTGCGGAGGTAAAGCTCATAACTCTGTCTGTTTTGATTGTGTGTCAGCTTCTAAATTAAGTCCATACTGACAAAGTTTAGCCACTTGGAATAAGGTTTCCTATGTCAGTCAGCCCTTTGGAGAGCAAGGCAAGGGAAAAATCTTAGTGACTTTTACTTTAAATAATATTAATGCTTTATGTTTTGGAATGGAGAATTTAAATCTGATAGGTTGCTAGTTGTGTCAAGGACATATCTTTTGCTCTGTCTATGAAAATTTGCCCAGATTTTGTCACTTGATTACACCTTTGCAAAACTGGTTTATATAGACCGACCGGAGACTCCCTAGATGTTAGATAATTTCCCAAAGATATAGTCTACGTTGGCATGTTCCAGCTTGAGTGCATTCTTGCATTTACAGCTCTGGTTTAATCTAGGCCTTGCCTGAACTCCAAGCAGGAATGCTGGTCTGCTTCATTTCCTTTTCTTCCACTTCAGACTGAAGCAGCAGGGAAATGGATCTGTGTTTACTGAAAGAGGGAGCTGCATCTGTGTTAATTGGAGCAGAAAGGTGTATAAGAGAAAAGAGATGTGCTGTGGGCTTAGAGAAACTGAGCTGAAGATAAGTGAATAAGGAGCTAGAAAAGACTGAGCAGAGGGACTGGAGCTGGGACGTGACGTTAGTAGGACACTCAGAGAATGGAGGCTGGAATTGCACAAGTGAAATGCACAGAAATTGGAATAAAGAAACAAGTTGGCATAATAGAAAGCTGGGACAAAGTACGGTGGAGAGAACAAATCCTATGTGCCTATTTCTCTCCAGGTCCTTGAATCAAACTAAAGATAATGGAAATTTAGTGTTGTACCATTGACGAAACATCAGAAGTCTTCTGTAAAATATCTCATTAGCCTCTCAGTTTGGCTTTTGCGAATGAAAGCACCAGTTCTATCTCTGAGTTACTTAGTCATCTCTGGTGGATCTGTGTAGTTCACAAATAGATGCATCAGTGATGCAATACAAGGAAACTTTTTCAGCTTGCTTTTTAAAAATGGGAATTGCAGAAGCATACAAGTAATCACACCACTAGAAAAACACTAGTAAGATACAGTTGGATGTTAAGAAGTGTTAAGTTTAGGTTGCTCATGCAGCCTTAAGGTTATATATTAACTTGTATTCCTCATAACATTGTATAATTTTTTCAGTGGTAAAATTTTAAGTGGGACTTATTCAGGACACAAAATGCATGGTACATGCATAATGAACATCAATTTGGTAGTTGATTAAGTGTTAATCTTATGTTTCCTGTATGCTGTTCACATCTTTCTTTTGAAGACTGTTAGTTGGCAGTGGGCTTTCCTGTACAGGTAACCATTATTGTATCTGACTCTGGAATACTTCCCTTGTGAAAGAAGAAAGTAGTCTGCATTTTATAGAGGCATGGGAATAAAAAGGATGGCAATTAAGCAAACAAGCCACGACCACCCCCCACCTCGGCCCCAGTCCTGGCAAACGAGTCCCCAGAGTTTTTAAAATTAATCTGTATGGCTGGAAGGTGAGACACAGAGTTAATGACCACCTGTAGAAAGCTTGGTTCAAATTGCTTAACTGGCCTCAATCTGGAAGATAGTAATAGAGTCAGTCTCTTCAGTGTAATGCTCCTTTTCTTTTAGCGTGAGATAATCTTTCTGCAGTCCACGCTTTATTCACTAGATACCTTCCAACATAATCATCAGGGATTCGATAGATGAGTCTTCTTGACTATACCTAATTAATCTCCAGAAGGTATTTGTCATGTGCATTTTGTTGAAAGGAGTATGTGACTGTGTATATTGGGGTTATCGTAACTCATAGATGATGGAGCCAAATTGCCTCAAGCAAAACTATATATAAATTTTGCAATCATCATGTTTTTGTGTGTAGTACGTAATCAGTGCTATGGTGTTAAGTAAGCCACAAAAGGAAGAAAAGTAAAAGTGGATTGTGTCATGATGAATTAGGGAGGGGATGTGCGTCTTTCATCATAAGTAATGTAGGTGACCAGTGGTCAACACTTCTGCAGAACGGATATTTCTGACTCTGAGATTTCATTTGTATTTGCTGAATAATATTTTATGAGCTCTAGAACATCTCATTAGAGTTGGATTAGTGGTAAAGATGCGGTTAATGGCAGTGCTCAGTTTGCAGTGGGGAAAAAGACTAAAAATCCTTGCTACAGTTCAGAAGAGGCAGGATTTTTGAAGTGGCCACAGCTCTAATTCTTATTTGTTTTCCTCTCTGAAAAACATCTCTTTGCCTCATCCTTCCACTCCTCCCTACCTCAAAGGCCTTTGCTGTTACTGAACCTTTCATTGCTCCCTGTTGGCCTCTTCTGTTGTTACTAACTAGTTTCCTATTGATTAATAGTCTCCTGTCCTCATTGGTTTGCATTTTCCCATAACAGTTTTGCTTCATGTGTCTTTTCTTGCTTGAATCTGCGTGTGCTTTCGTATACTACATCAACAGTATTGGCCTCCAGCTTATCAAAGCATGTATTTTCTGGTTTTCCCCTTCTCTAACTAATAACAGAGCAGGCCTGTGCAACACATGGCCCACAGGCTGCATGCTGTCCCCAAAGCTGTTCTTTTTCTTTTTGGTGTAGCAGCAGAAGCCAAGAGACAGTCAGAGGTGTGGTTCAAGAAGCAGCTCATTGCTTTTGGCTTTCCCAGCAGTGAGGAGGCAGGAGTTGGCTGGCCAGGATGCCTCTGATGCTTGGCCCTTTGCTCAGTCACTCTGCATGTGCCACTTGGCTGGCTGGTGTCTGTGTTCCTCTGACATAGGGCTTGACTAACTCGAGGAGTAATCAAAGATACAGGTGGTGTGGATAGGAGCTTTAGCAGTATGATGTTGGGATGGTAAAAGGATATGTGAATATCTGGGGGAATTTGTGGCAGGATGAGGCAGAGTAGTACCTTGATGTTAAAACATCTAATATCATATTAGAATTGAGCAATTTGGTAGTATGAGCATAAAACAGTAGAAGGTGTCTTCATGTATGTTACATCACAGAAATCCAATTTTCCTTATTTTGACAGGATCAGATTTATAACCACATGACTTCCATTGGACTGCAGGTTGTGTATAAAGTAAGAATCAAAGAATCACAACTTTTCAATTAATCACTCTAATCAAAATAAAAAAGGACCTAACAGTTTTCAGTATTAAAGTTGGCAAGGCCAAGCAGTGGAGAAGAATTGGTCTTGCTTTCACCATGTTAATGTTGGTATACTAAGTGTTCTTCAAAAGCTTGAGAAGTAGAGACCATGCTCACTTCAAAGCCTTGCAGCTGAATAAACACAAAGATGTTTGTTCCCATTGCTGCATCTGCCAAGTGTTGAGTAATAAAACTTTTCTTATAGCATAGAAGCTTGTAAATGTCTTCAATTTTTAACTGTTGAGAACTGAGTGGAACTACGGGCGTGCTATTTTACATATAAAATTATGCAGTTGTTTACATAATGCTTTCTGAAGGAATCCAGTTGCTTAAGTTCAAACAGTTGTGAGTGGGACATGCTGTAGATGGTGCC